CCTCCCGCTGTCCCCCCCCGGCTCCATCCCCTTCCTGCCCTTTCCCACCTGCCCTCGGCTTTTGGCCCCATGTGGCTGGGGGCAGGAGGAAAGGAGTGGAGAGGAGGAGGAGAAGGGGTAAGCTGGGAATGGGGACAGAGCCTGAAGGCAGCAGGACCCACGGTGCCCCAGTGTGACACCAGTGGGGCTGCACCAGCATGGACCTGCTGCTGGTCTCGTAGCCCTGCCCGGATGCTGAGGATGAAGGAGACGGCGCTGATCACATCTGGACAGCCTGGTGGGGTGGAAAGAGGAGCCTGCCCTGCAGGGTCTTGGGCAGCAGCCCCGCTGTCCCACGGTGGCGGACCCAGCCCTGCCCTGTCCCCCAATGTGTTGTCACTCCAGGGTGTGATTAAAACATGATTTAACCCTGCCTCCGCCTGCAATGGTTTGTTGGGGCTCTTCCACTGGTGGTGCTGGGAGGAGATCCCCCAGCCATGGTGTGGCTTTTTTTGCGTGCGCTTTCAAGGACCATAAATACATTCCTCGTTAACTGTGTCGGTGAGAGAACAGGTCTGTGGCACAATGAGCGCTCTTGTGCAAACAAATCTGACCTGATCAGGCGCAGGCAGCCCTGGTGCATCGCCATGGGGTTTCTGTGTGCATCTTTCCAGTGTTGCATGCCACCACCTCCCTTCTTGCTTTTCTCTCTTCCCCGTCCACCAAGGCCCGCTAGAAGGGCCCTTACCTTTCCCATGTGAGCTCTGCAGAGCTGAGCAAACTTGCTGGTGGCACTGGTTGCGGCGTCAGGCAGGCACGTGCGCTGGGGCAAGACAGCCCTGTCCCCAGGCACCCATTATGGAGTCCTGTCTGTATCTCTAATCATGAAGTTGTATGAACATTATAATTTTTGCATTCCTGTCATCTTTGTGGTACGATAAACAGAACATGAGGCATAGGTCACTGCAAGCTGTTTCTGCTGTAGCCGGTCGTGCCCCTGTGGGTCACGTTGGAGTTAAAAGCAGGGAGCAGCGGCAGCGGTATTTGCCCTTAGTAAGTGATTCACAAGGCTGGTACCATCCAGCTGGGAAGATTTCCCGGGGCACAGCGCAGTTGTTACTGTCCGTGATAGCCTGGGAATCTCCATCACCCTCCGGAGCACGAAGCATCATCACAGGGTCGGCATTTCTTGCAGCCCTGCCACAGGGCTGCTTCCCCTACCTCCTTCAAACCTCCACCTCATTGTAAACTGCCCTTCTATTTCTCTACTCATTAAGATATTTACAGAGCACGGTGTGTACAAAAGTAAATGATACACATCAGAGACTGTGAACCAAAGGGGACGCCTGGCTCGGGCGTCGCATGGGCGATACAGGCCCGTGACTTAAAGCACCTTCCAGGGAGGGAATGTGCTGTTTGAAGCCAGGAGGAGGAGGAGGAAAATCTGCTGGCTTGTTTCAGTGGTCAGTCAGTTTTTTCTCTTAAATGTGGTATTTCTAAACTGAGCTTGTCTTGGCTTCAATTTTGCAGTCACTGCCTCTTGTTTTGCCTTCTGGGCTCACCTTAACAGCCCTTTGCTACCTGTGAAAAGACAATATCTGCTGTAATTTCTGGAAATTCCTAACGTCTTTCAGGTAAGATAGGACACTGAGGGCTAGGAAAATACATTTCAGTTATCTGTTGGCGGGTGTTTGTCAATAAGCTTTTTATCACATGAACTCATGCTAGATGCAGTATTTTACTCTTGGTCTCAGCGATGTCTGAAAAACCCCTGCTTCCCAGGCTTATTTATCCGGGACCTCGTTCAGTCTCATCCCTCAGTACCCAGTCGTGGGTTGCTTGTCTGCTCCGACCCTGCTGGGGGTCCCACCTGTTTAACGGCGCAGACATGGCTGTTTTTCGGGTGTGCAGGGGGCCCTGGTCCCATGGCAGCCCCTCTGCCTCCTCTCCAGGCAGCTCCAGTGCAAGCGGGTGGGAGCCTGGCAGCTCCCGTGGGGGGAAATGCATCTGGGATGCAGAGCCGGGAATACAGGGGGGTCAGAGCAGAAAAGGAGGATCCTTCTCAAGGGGGGTCCCCCCAGCAAGCTGCAGATGGACAGAAGGAGGGTGCTGGGGCTGGCGGGCAGGAGCAGTAGCCGGTATGCAGGCAGACTGGTTCCAGGCTTGCTGCAGGCAGTGCTGCCGCTGCGAGGCTCAGGGCTCGGCCCTGCTGCAGGGCGAAACAGCTTCTCTGTAAACAAACCAGCTGGCACTGACATATTCAGGAGGCTTTGCCTGTGTCCCCTGAGCTCCTTTCGGGGGCACGGCAAGATCTGAGGTTCACAGAGCGGTGGTGAGGGGGACTGGCCATGTCTAGGTCCTTCAGCAGAGGGAGGAGATGCATGCCCAGCTGGAGGTGGGAGTTGTGTATCAGGAAACAAGTACCCACATTTGAGGGGCTGTGGTGGCATTGCCACACTAGCTGATGAGCCGAAACCACAGCCACAGGAGGGACCCGGGGCTGTCGTGATTTCTGCCCAGCCCTGCCGCCTCCGGCTCTGCAAGAGAGGCCGTCACTCAAGCATCAGCCTTCAACATGGTCGACTTCTGCAACACTTTATTATGTATTTCCACACACAGCACAGGGACTGAGAAGGCAACAAACCAGTACCGCCGCTGCAGGAGGTGAGTCAGTGACTGGGGCCGCACAGGCTGTCCGTCCGGGCAGCCGGACACCCGAAACGCCACCCTTGGAGGCAGCCTGATCTCAGCCATTACTTCCTCAAGTTGCTGGCATGGCCTAGGAGCGTCCTTTTCTGGCACAATTCATGGGCACCTGGGGCACATTCTGAAGGGGCCATGGCGGGGAGGATTCACATTGATAGGCAGGCAGCGCGGAGCTGCGAGCTGGGCACAGTCACGCATCTTCACAGAAACGCCCAGATGTGCAAAACAGCTGGTGTGCAAGCAGCTGGGAGTGACTGCTAAAGCACTGACACAGGCAGGGACGGCGCAGGTTGGCATGAACTGCCCGTGCGCCGCCACAGACGCACAGAGCAGCGGCGGTGGTGGTGGTGCAAAGCTGTGCAGCTCTGGCCTGTCCCTCCCCGTGTATGCACAGGGGTCCCTGCTGGGCCTGAGGTCAAACAGCCCGGAGGGGAAGGACAGCTTTTTGCGTTGCAGCAGATTTAGCACAGAAGGACCTGAGCTTAGTAACACCCTCTGAATTCTTGGGTAGATTAAGGGAAGTGATGCAGAGAGAGGAGGAAACAGCAGCTTAATAAATTCTATAGAAATGATGTGAAAGTGGCTGAGGAAATTGCAGAAATAACAGATCCAGAAAAGAAAAGCCAGAATGATGTTCTCATACTTGGGGAAAATACTCCAAGGCTTTGGGGGAGAAGGAAAGCCCGTAGGAGCAGGGGAAGAGAAGAGGAATACAGAAGTGCCCTCATGCCATCTGAGTGCATCGGAGACGGTGTGGCCGGGAGCTGCAAAGGGATGAAGTCCTCATTGTCCAGCGTATACCTGGTAGAGTTCACTGACGCTGAACTCCGACACTGCCTCCAGGTGTAACACGGACAGCAAGTCGTGCTGTTACTGAGGGAATGAGCTATCGTCCTCTTCAAACAAATGTTACCAGACGCCAGGATAGAATAGCTCGGCCTTGTTCCATTACAGAGCAAATAATGAGCAAAAACAGCAGCTGGGTTGGAGCAGCTCGGGTGAGGGGGAGATGGGGGCAGGCAGGAAGATGAAGAGGAAGAGAAGGTTGGGCAGGCGCAGCTTTGCTAGGAGGTTAGGATCTGTGTCTATGGAAAGAGCAGTGAAATGGTTTGTGGGTCTATGGAGGAAATGGGAATTTTGATAGGTAAATGAGCCTCAAGTCACAGGAAAAGCTCCCTGGGGTGAGCTGTTAGTCTGCGTCTGGGAGAGGCACCTTGGTGATAGACACCTTGAAGAGATAAAACACCGAACCAGCTCCAGGTAAGGCCCAAGCAGTAGCAGAAGAACTTTTCTGCCCCACAGCAGCTGCAGCACTTGGGAGACAGAAACAGCACGGGAACAGGCAGGGACTGGGATGAGCTCCCGCGGCAGCAGAGGTGCCTCTGCTTGGGAAGCTCCTGCTGGAGGGCAACAGCGCTCCCTGCTCACACCGCCCTTGCAGGGCAGCAGCCCAGCCCCGGGATTCAGGTGTCTCATCGCTATCCCCCAGCGACTGCACCTTGCTGACTGTGGCTCATGTGGCTGGAGCACGCTGGCATGGTAAGAGAGCCCTGACACACAGTCCAGCGCTGATAACCCGTCAGGGCCCTGGCACCAACACCCTTTGATCACCCCTTTGATAAACCACCGAAGATGTTAGGCTGCAGAAAGGTAATATTGGAACAGATCCTGGCATTGCAAATGCAAACGGCATTTCATGTGAGGTCCAGCCATGCCGGGGCTCTGGCACACAGAATCCCACGCGAATCCCACGCTCCCTCCCACAGACACACAGGTGCTTTCCCAGAAGCAGCCCTTGCAGCCGTACCTCCTGCCCTGGGTTCTCTTCGCTTGTGCTGCACGCCTGCCAACATGCAGAGTATTTCCTGCCATTCATCAGCTGCTAGGGGCTCTACTTTGCTCAGGGGTCCCGCAGCCTGGGAGGGAGGGGACGCATGACACAGGGCATCACAGCATGCTCAGCATGTGCCCACCTTCATGGGCTCAGAGGCATGAAGCGCTGGCACCAGCTGAGACAGGGGTCCAGGCTGGCAGCCCTGCATGGAGCACAGGGAGGTTTTGCACCATCCGCAGCCACAGCCGCTCCTGCCAGGAGAGTGCATGACACAGCCCCGGGAACAGCTGGAACCAAGCAAGTACTGGGGCCCCAGGGGTATGGGACAGGCTCACCTTAACTCTGCGACAGGGGTCACAGCCAGGCAGGCAGCAGCGGTCGTAGGAGGCTTTGCGGAGATAAAACCAGGCCACTGCTGCGTTCCTAACGTGGCGGGGGTCACAGGGCCCATCCAGGCACCCTGAGCACCCACTGTGCCACCAGCCTGGGGCAAAGCAAATGCCAGTCATCTCCGAAAGAAGCGCAAGGCATGCCACAACGGTCGCCCTTCCTTGGGGAAAGGCTGGCACAAGCCCTGCTGATGGGTTGTATCCAGTGAGGCTCACGCAGGGGTGTCCTGGGTCAGATCAGGTTGGCCATGCTGGAGGTGGGAGGAAGCCGCCTGTTTGCAGCGAGGCGGCCAGAGATGGTGAAGACACGGATCTCGCCGGTCTCCAGGCTCCGAGGAGCAGCCTGGCGGCAGGAGGTGCAGAGCAAGTAGAGCAGCAGGCAGAGGAGGATGGCACTGCCAGCAGTCAGGAGGACAACCCCGCTGGTGAACATGCTGGCCAGCGGCCGTGCAGGGCTGAGCTGCATGGTCGTGGTGGAGAGGATGGTGAGCACAACCCCGCAGACCACCAGCACCAGTGCGCTGAGCAGCAGCACCAGGCAGCCCCAGAA